TAAACCCTGTTTAATTCGTTCCTATGGGTCAAAAACTCACCGTTCAGCGAAGATCCTCCATTGGGCCGCCATTTTCGGCGCCTCGGTAAGCGAGGTGTGAAACGGGCAGCCATTTTGGAACCGCTGAACAGCTGAGCGGCGGGGGCTTTGAAGCCCCGCCGCTCAGCTGTTCAGCGGTTCCAAAATGGCTGCCCGTTTCGCACCTCGCTTACCGAGGCGCCGAAAATGGCGGCCCAATGGAGGATCTTCGCTGAACGGTGAGTTTTTGACCCATAGGAACGAATTAAACCCTGTTTAATTCGTTCCTATGGGTCAAAAACTCACCGTTCAGTGAAGATCCTCCATTGGGCCGCCATTTTCGGCGCCTCGGTAAGCGAGGTGCGAAACGGGCAGCCATTTTGGAACCGCTGAACAGCTGAGCGGCGGGGGTTCAAAGCTCCCGCCGCTCAGCTAGGGGAAAATTGGGCTATAGTCTACATCGTAATGCGATCGCAAAAGCGATCGCAAAATCCGCATCGGTATGCGGATTCATCGTTAAATGAGGCGCTCGTTAAGCGAGGCACCACTGTATTATAGAAACCAAGAGAGATCCTGTGTTAATGTTCTACTTTGTAAGTCAGCATTGAGACAACATTCTTATTTTGGACATAACAGGAAACTCCAGTTTAAACAAACTAGGAAGCCTTTTCTGAATTTGAGAAGTGGCTATTCTGCCACTTAGGAACTGTTCCCATTAATATGTACAGTATGTCAAATACAAACTGTGTTTTAATAACTTTCTTATATTTCTTAATAATATATCTCTAAATGAAAATGTTCTTAAACTTGTACCTGTATAATTAATTCAATTTTCACTGAATACCTACAAACACCTCCTTATGAATCTGCTTTTTTGGATTACAACTCCATGATTCTGCGAGATGCTTGAATTTGTAATCTAAAGAAGTAATTTTCTTCCAGTCTTTGTGCTAAAAAAAGGCTTTTCAGTCTGTACATCTCTAGTTTTAGGAAGTTTCAGATATACAAACACAATATAATGATTTTTCTCTGGTCCATTTCCCTGGTTTTGTATTAGTCTGAATACAAGACAATCAAATCATGCACGAATTTGTCTGGATTCTGTGACTGAGAATGTACCTATATGTATGCCTGAGAAGTCTTAAACTGGCTTATATCAAGGATCTACTGTATAAAATTATACAGAGCTTGGAGAAATCACTTTTTTGGACTATGGCACCCAATATTTGTCAGCTGCAATTCTGGGGGCTCTTGTGCAGAAAGTAGTTTTTCCATGGTTTGTTCCTTCTAAGAATTGTTTCAAGATAAGCCCCAAGAGCAGATGGCAATAATAATCTGTACTTCTACAAGAACAGAATTCTGAAATTCTGCTCCTTGCACTGCAGATAGGTACTACTACTCGTATAAAACATGAAGCTCCTAACATGGTTTTGCTTTCTGGGTTGAATGTCTACTGGATAAACATTCAAGTTTCAGAAGAACCCAAAGATCCATAGAGGAGGCTGGAATCCACGTATGTGTGGAACAGTAACATGGAGAAAAAGCACTCGTGTTCTTTACACCATGACAATAAACTGGTACTTATTTTCATATGTGGTGGGAACGCGAGATGAAATTTTGGCAAATGGTATTTATGGAAATAAAAGAAATAACCAAGCAAAATGTAAAAGTATCTCCTAAAATAGCACTTTTATCAATTTCTGTCTATCTGTTGCAGTTATTACTGTATTTTATTGTATTACTGGGTATTTTGTTATTATTTTATGGTTTATATAATTTGATTCACCTAAGCCACCAGTGGGCTATCCTCAGTCGCCTTCCTGTTTTTGTTTGTCTGTGCTATTATCTATGCATTCTTTTATTATTTTTGTTTGTAAGTTTTGCTTAATTATGTAAACCATCCCAAATAATATTTCACTAAGTTGGATGGTCTAGAAGCTCAACAAACAAATACCGTAAACAAACAGGCAGGCAGGCAGGCAAGCAAGCAAACAAAGAGGAATATAATTGGGCAACTAGAGAACTAATTTCTAATTTATCAATGGCGGCTAGATTAATGATAGCTAAGTATTGGAAAATAAAATACGGTTTCCAATTACATGAATGGTATAAAGAAGTATGAAATATAGCTATCAATGATAAATTAGCATGTAATATTAAAGTAAAAAAAGAATTGTTTAAAAGGCATACTTTTGCAGAAATCTGGGAAGACTTTATTGATCATGTATTAATAAAGGGAAAGGCACGTCCATCATTGCAAGAAACATTACAATTTTGGAAGGGGAATGGGAATTCTTGAAGGAAAGAGACTTGTTTAGATCACCATTTGGTCCCCAGATGTTTTCTTTTCCTGTTTTTTTGTTAATTTCCTTTAAGTTTGGATTGTGCAGTGTATGTATGTTTCTTATAAAATCTATAAAATTAAAAATTAACCATGTTCCATTGGAGCAAAAGTAGAAATAATAACCAGGCAACATTCAGTTAGCAGTCAGTCTCAAGCACCAAGATGACTAAGACTGGATGTCCTGCCAGAAAGAGGCCCTGGTATATGGACAAGGATTTTTGGCCAGTTTTGACATACTGTACAGCCGTATTTTGCAGTCTGGCACAAATTATTTATCTGAACTATTTGTGGTTTAGTAAACTTGCATCCAGGAAATTTTCTTTGTATTTCTTGCAAAATATAATACAAAAACGTGATCTTACCAGCAAACACTGTTGAAATCCTAACAAATATTTGGTAATATGCTTGTGAATTGAGCCAAACTCAATCATGTTGTAATTATACTGGCTCAATACACTCTATTCCACAAGCCAGTACAGGAATAATGTATGCCAGCTCGAGTTCCTTGGAAGAAAGATGGGATATACTAAGAGCAAGGGGTAGTGTATTGGCTAGGGTGTTGACATGGCCATTGGGAGATTTAGGCTCTGGTCTTCACTTCTTGTATTATTCACTCTCTCTCAATTTCAGATACCTCACATGGCTGAGAGAAGAAGAAGAGTGTGTACTGTATGCTCTCATGAGTTAACTGGAGGAAAAGTGAGACAAAGATATAACTAGTAATAAACAATGATGCATGAAATCATGGATGTGCATACAAACATGCAATGAATCTCTCTATTTCTCTCTCTCTCTGTAATGTGTGTGTGTGTGTTTTAGTGACTTAGAGTCTATGTCAAAAAAGAAAAGTGCAAGTGATTGTAACAGAAAAGGTTGTCAGAGAGAATCAACTGACTAGACACAATCGACGTTCACATTTTTCTAAGTTCTGCATTCCTTTTAAAACTAATTTCCAGACGTCTGAACAAGATGATAGAACACTTAGGAAGTGTCCTTTGAAATAAAAGACTCAGGGTCTCAGTAGTGCATTAAATTTAGTGCTGTCATAAAGACACGGTGCTTGTTGTTTCATTTGGGCACCACACTGCACACATTTCTCTTGTTTATCTAGTTCCTTTCTCTGGCCTCTTCAAACTATTTACTTGCTAGATATTTAGGGATATCAGATAAAAACGCTGAATTCAAAGTTCTAAAAAGCACCCCAGTAAAGGAATCTTGAATTTCTAGTAGTTATTTTTTTCTGTCCATTTTAATTAAAGGCTCATTCATTCTGACATCTTCCCAATACAGTCTTCAACGTTTTACCTAATTTCCCTTCTGTCTCATTCTAATTCAAATCATGGTGCTTCCCGTGTTATATTTCAAATGCTGTTGAATAGAAGTTTTTAGAAGTGTATACATAAGTGTTGCAAAGAGAATGGTTCAAATCCGTTTTCCAGAGCAGCTGCATTTGCTAACAGGTTGGGATTATCCACGGCAATTCCCCTTCGGCACCAAGACATAAATGTGGTGGAGCGGCTGGAGGGCCGGACTGGCATTCAAGTTTGGAAGCAACACATGGCAGGTAACTATGACACAGGCAATGATCACTATCCCTTTTGTCCCATAAAATAGTGACTGCTAACATTGCTACTTTTTTTGTAACAAAAATATTTATTCATTACATTAGTGTTATTTGGGGGAAAACATTTGTATTGCTATTTTCTCATTTTTAAGCAGTTTTCAAGGTTGCTACCAGCACCCAGACACAGGTTCCCGACTTCAACGTCTCTTTAGAAATAATTTGAGAGGTAAAGGAGAAAGCTCTCCCAACTTTGCAGGGAGCTAAGAATCCAATTAAATCACGAGGAAGTTTCACTTCCTTCCTCAGGAGTCGGTGGCGGGCGGGAAGTGGGGCAAAGTGGCATATTAAAAGGAAGCACCACAACGAGCCTGTCTGCATCAGCTGGGATAATAAAGACATTCGGGGGAGGGCGAGCAACCTTCCCCCCCACACACTTTGGGCATCTTTTTCAGGACAGGCTGGCTTGGCGCCTGCTTTCTGCTCCGAAGTGTCTCTCCAACAACGCGCGGAGGCGGGAAACTTTCCCCCGCCGCCGCCCCTCCCCCCCACCAGGGCGCGAAGGCGGCGCGTGGCAGAGCTCGGCTTCTACTTTCTCGGCAGCAGGGCTCCGGCACAGCCCCGGCGCCGAGGGAGCGAAGCAACTTCGACGACGTCCCCTTTCCCCGAGGGAAACGGGGTGGGTTTTTAAGCCTTCCTTCGCCTGGCTCAGGGTCTGACGGGAGGCGACAGAGATGAGGCGGGCAGGAAGGTTTTTGGATACCCGCGGAACAACCGGGCGGGGCGCGCGCCCCGTGGAGTCCCGGCTCGACTCTCCTGCTTGCCGTCGGCTTGACTCCGAAGTTCTCGCCGCGGGGCCGCTGCAGACGCCGCGCTCCTCCTCCTCTTCGGCAGCCCCACGCCACCGTCTCCCTCTGAAGGGCCACGGGCGGACCTCGCCCCCTTTCTCTCCTCCTCGGCGGAGGAGGAGGGACTCCACCACGTCCACACACACAGCCCCGCCGTCTTTGGGCGCAGCCTCTGGGACAAAACGAGCCGGGGCGTCAACATGAGCGCCAGAGGGACGCGGGCGTCAAGATGAGCGCCCATTTGCGCTCGGGCTACTACCTGGGCAGGAAGTCCAGCGTCTGCCTGGCGCTGGTGGGGGCCGCCCTGCTCTTGGCGCTGTTGGTGCTGGGCATCCTCTACGGCCGCTGCGCGCGCCAGCTGGAGGGCGCCGGGTTGCGCCCCCACCCGCCGCCCTGCGCC